GAGGAGATGGAGGGAGGAGATGGAAGAGAAGGAGGAGGAATGAGGGAGGGGGAGTTGGAGGGATGGAGGAGGAGATGGAGGGAGGAGATGGAAGAGAAGGAGGAGGAATGAGGGAGGGGGAGATGGAGGAGATGGAGGGAAGAGATGGAAGAGGAGGAGGAGGGATGAGGGAGGGGTAGATGGAGGGATGGAGGAGGAGATGGAGGGAGGAGATGGAAGAGAAGGAGGAGGAATGAAGGAGATGGAGGGAGGAGATGGAAGAGAAGGAGGACGGATGAGGAGGAGATGGAGGAAGGAGATGGAAGAGAAGGAGGAGGAATGAGGGAGGAGGAGATGGAGGGATGGAGGAAGAGAAGGGAGTGAGGAGATGGAGGAGGGCGCAGCAGAACTGAGAGGAGATGGCAGGAGAGAGAATAGACACGATTGGGAATCCTGGGAATGGAAGATTGGTTACCATGGCAACAGCAGCCGAGAGTCACATGATCCGATTTTCTCCTGGTTTTCCTTCATCTCTCGGTGTTCACAGACTGTATTGTACAAAACAATAAAGGCTGTCATGGAGCCTCCCGTCAGGCCTTTAGTAAAAGGCTTCATTTGATAAAGAATGCGAGTGCATAAAACACCCAGGAAGTGATGGAAGTCTGGACCTAACACAGCCTAACCGAGTTAGGAATGGAGAGGGGGGAGGAGAGGGGGGAGGAGGAAAGGGAGGAGGAAAGGGAGAAGGAGAGGGGGGAGGAGAGGCCGTGCTAGAGGTCGCCAGGGAAACGGAAAGATGGAAATCAAGAAGGAAGAGCAACATGATCCCAAAGGAGGCAAACCGGAGACACGCATGGTCCAGAGAGGGGAAGGACAGAGTCCAGAGGGGGGAGCAGCTGGAGCTGCTGGATGGACTCAGTAAAGCTCAGTGTTTCTGAGTACCTCTGAGTATTTCTGAGTATTCCCGAGGTATATCTGTAGTATTTCTGAATATATTTGGGTACTTCTTAGTATTTTGGAAGTATTTTTCTGGTATTTCTAAGGTAATTCTGAAAGATTCCGAGGTATTTCTCAGTATTTCTGAGGTATTTCTGTGGTATTTCTGAGTGGTTCCATTTCTGGCCGTTGGACTGTGGTGGTGTGCAGAGCTGCTGTAAAGCGACGTGTTGTGGGAACACAGTGTTTCAAATGTCACCGATACAGAAACAAGCTGAAAGAGGATATGTGTGTTTATGCCCGATGTGACGGTCCTGAGGGATCCGAGCCAGCACCTCTGGTTGCGGTCGGTTCTGGTCCATCATTTAGGAGCAATCTCATCGAGATTCACCTTGAACTTATCATGCATGAGTATTTCTGAGTACCTCTTAGGTATTTCTGAGTATTTATTAGTACCTCTGCCTATTTCCGAGGTATTTCTGCATGTTTCTGAGTATTTTTTAGTATTTCTAAGGTATATCTGTGGTGTTTCTGAGTATTTCTGTGGTATATTTGTGGTATTTCTGAGTACTTCTGAGTATTTTCAGTGATTTTCCTTTATGTAAACACGTAAAAAGCTGATTTTCAGTGATTTTTCCCACCCTGATAATGAAGTAAAAAGCAGGCGGTAGGTGATAGAGAAGGCAAACGGAGGCC